GTTGGGCTGCTAGCTGCAAAGACAGCAGTTCAAAGCCACCAGCCGCTCCTCAGGAGGGAGATGGGGGTATCTGCTCCCATAAAGAGTTAGAGTCTCGGAAACTCCCAGGGGCAGTCCTACCTGTTCTGCATGATCTCTCAGTCAGCACGATTTAATGACGGTGAGTGTGGTGCATGTAAAACACTTAAGAAAGATCACTAAATACACTGACCTGTCTTAGACATCATCATATTAAAATGAATAAGAAAACGCCCTCACTGCCAGTTGCTTAAAGCAGGCATAGTGGAGTGGGCTACGCACTGAGCTGCTAACCGCGTGGTCAGTGGTTCCAGCCCACCAGCCGCTCTGCAGTAGAAAGATGAGACCATCTACTCCGGCAAAGACCTGGACACGTTGGAACGTCGGAGGCGGCTCTGTCCACCCTGCTTTGTGTGATCCCGTGAGTGGGAATCGACTTCATGGCAGTGAGGTTTTCTCCGTTAGTTCAGGCATCAAACGAGGTTTGTAAGAACTTTTCTTTTTTTAACAATTTGAATGAATGAATTAGTTAATTTTGGAGAGCTTTACCACTGTTTGTCATAGGTGGCCCTTAGCAGCCGGGCCTCCCGGAAACTGTACGATAACAACACTGTGGTGAGCCTCCGTGTGTCCTCATTTTGCTCCTCTAACTTTGCCACCTCCCTTCAGCAAAGCACAAGCCTCTGTTCTGGTGTCTGGGCTGGTTTAGCCTGCCCTCTTCCGCAGATGCCGTACCTGCTGCTCTTGCTCCGTAAGGGCTTCGCTGTGGCTAGCTCTTCAGCCCAGGAGTCAAGTAAGTCGCCGACATCATTATCCACAATCTTCCAGGCAATCGACTCCCAATATCAATTACAGCTTGCCCCGTGGTGGCAATGTGCTCAGCTGTAAGCCCCTGAAACGCATGTGTGGGTGAGCACAATTTGTTCCATACTGATTTCATATTTGCGTGCTTGACTTCGCCCCAAGAATCAGCAATCTTCTGATAGCATCATAGATGTTACAGTTTCTCCAGAGCTCTTAGCCCCTCACAGGCAGCCCTGACTGCTTGTGACATGGTCCTTCACGAATAATGATGCCTTGGTTGAAGAAGTGACAATGTGCAGGGAGATTAAAATACGACCTGAGTGTTGACGTTCAGGTTGTCTAGCGCGCGTGGGAGTCTGTGTGCATTGTCAAGCACAAGGATCATCTTGAAATGTGTCCAGGTAAAAACTGGTCCAAGAACCAATCTTCCAAGATGTATCTACTTCTCAAATAATGAGCAGACTGGATGTAGGGTGTGATACACAAGCAAAGGCTTCAACTTGAGA